GTGCTTCCTATAGAGGTGTGCATAACCTACTCACTGATCTTATCTTAATCGGTTGTTTTTCTGGTTAGGTGGCAGAACGAGCTAGAGGAATGCCCGTCGAATATCCCAAAGCGCCATTTGAACCTCGAAGGTATCTGGAAACTTTTGAAGGGAAGAATGGAGAGGTAGAAACGGAAATAAAAATTCTGTCTCTGGTAAGTGAGTGTGGAGATTAATTACCGACTCGAAATAGTAAATACCAAGATATGTGAGATGATTTAGTAGAAGTTTAGTAGAACAGAATTTCTTTTTGTGTAATTAGATTTTATGTTCTGATTTACCTGTAAGTTCGTACTTTGAAAAAACATTTTTATATGGCAGTGTTAATGTCGCATCACTTGGTGTCCTATTTTCCTATTTTGAGTTGTCTTTCAGTCATTTTATTGCTTGTACTTGCGTACGATGCTTAATGAATAAGTAACGCGTTTTTGAATGTCTAGGGTGACAACAATGGCGCATGCGATTTTGAAGGTTTTGAGGAGAAAGACGATCTCGAAAACGGAACTGAACAAAACTTTGTAGAGAGTTGTGATCCATGCAGTTCCGGAGGCAAGTTCAGCTCACTGCATCGCTATAATTATTAATTTTAATGGAGAACATGTTTTAGATGTGCCTCAATGCCCATTGAATCCAGCAGATCAAGAAAGAGGAAAAATGGGAGATCTTGATACCGATGAGGACCCTGAAGATGCAAAAGTCCTTTTTTTTTCAAATATTTTAGATCACTTTTTCTTTTGTATTTATCTTCTGAAAACTTGTCCCTTTTCATCGTGACTGTATCATCATGAGTTTCACCCTTTTAATGCAAGATAAACCTGAAATTAATGAAATGAGTTTAATTGTATAACTTATTAGGGCTCTGATGACTGGGATAGGCGTGTGATAGTTCGCAGGCGAGAACTGGTCCCTGAAGAGGAAGCAAAGCTGCCATGGCATAAACCACCTTTGGATATGTACAGACGAGTCACAGAAGCTATACATGGTTTAGATATGATAAAGGCAAGTAATGTTACGTAACTTCAGATCTTCTACTGTTTTCTTGGCTCATAGTTGATATAATCCATGGTGTGCATTTTCAGGAAGGTGACAAAATTCTAGTCTGTTTATCTGGCGGAAAAGATTCACTCTCTCTACTGCATATTCTCCATTTTTATCAAATGAGATGTCGGAGAAATAAGAGGTAGGAGATGACAACTTTATTTTTTTTTACTAAGCAGGAATTGCGATGTTGCGAACGAAGAATGCTTGGGGAAATTTGGTAAGGGGAAATACATTTTCGTCACAAAAAAGTGATAGATAGGTGATGCAGCTATGGCTTCGAGAAAAGGATGCATCAACATCTCCTGCAATATGTATAAATTTCTTTACTCTAACTAAATTTGTTAGATTTCTTAATCGCAACTGTGGGGTTTTAATATGTATGCCAAATAAAATATGTAAAGTTAAAGGAGAAAAGAGGAAGTTGAGGGCAAGTGAAGATTGTATTTTGAAAGG